AAATCAATTGTATATGTGTTCCTCAGCCTTCACACTGAATTATAATCTTAATGGTAGCTTCCTAATGTTACTTCACTTCTTTGTATCTGTGTTAAATTCTTACTGAATGTTTGAAAGTATATAAGATAATCAGTAAAGTCAAGCCTGGTCGCTGACCTGATCGAGTCTTGACCTCCCTTCAAATCAATCATCTCGTCTGCAGTTCTTTTTCCCTGCATCTCTGATCAGAGGCTCTGAGAACACTTTCACTTACTGGAGAAAGCCCAGCCTTCAGGGTGGTTCTAGAACCTTCCTCCCCTTTCCCCCAGCAGCATAAGCAATGTCCCTCCACCTCTGCCCCCCAGGCTCCTGATGAAGGCCTTCCTGTAGAAGGAAGGAGCCTTCCATTCTGGCCCTTTCTGGGACCTCACCTTCTGCTGTGCCTGAGGCACCAGCTGCCCCAGCGCAGGTGGAACCAGAATGTCTGCCAGCCTGTTCCTCCCCCTCAGTCAACTGCGGGCCTTGCCCTTGGCATTTGGTGAGGCACAGTGAAGGAAAGAGAATGGAAAATCCCCTGTCTCTTTTGCTCTACACAAACCCTCAGTCGGGCGCTTGCCTCTGTTTTACATGTCTGGGCAATTGTGGTGAGAAGCCGAAGAGAAATATCTGAGGAGTTGGGAATTCTCTGTTCAAATCCCAACTCCGACATCGACTCCCTGGATGGCCCTGCATAGCTGTCACTTTGCTCACTCATCAAATGGGATAATAGCCACTTGCCAGGCCTGGCTTTAAGATTCAACAGGGGGCCACATATTGGGTCTTGGCAGTGGCTGGGTCACAGCTGCAACCCAGTACACAGCACTTTCTTCCCTAGCTGGCTTTGCTGCAGAAAGGGTGAGGGTCCCTTGCAGAAGCAGAGGAAATGGTGTCTCCCAGCAGCTCCAGGGGAGTGAGCCATCACACTAGGCTCAGTGGTTGGGAGTAATTTGCTGAGTGCTCATACTGTGTCCCTGTTAACGGGTGTCCAGGTGCTCTAGAACCTGAGGAAGGTGTTCTCCCAAAGGACAAGATGTACAAGGGACCCTGGGACAGAATGGCATGGTGAACTCTCCCTCAACTGCCTTCTCTAGCGCTTCCATGTGTTTAAACAGATGACAGGTGTCTGTGATGTTCCTGGGGCCCAGAGGCAAAGTGCTCATTCAGGTATCGGCCACACCCTGTCTCTGTCATTAGCATTTTATAATCAAGACCTATAACTATCAGGGACAGTCATTATGGTGATGCTTAGAGCCCAAGTCAACCCATGAGTGGAGTTTTCATTACTGTGAAAAGCCTGAGCTTGCTTTCTTTTTAAGCACAGACAGTGATGTCCTGGGCACTGCCACCAGGAGCCTGTAGGTACTGGAGGGATATTCTGCTCTTTTATTGAGAGTGGGGTGAGAGGGCTAAGAGTGTCAGTGTTGCTATGCTAAGAGAACTTCCAAGAGGTTGACAGATTCCTTTGGTCAAAGGGGCTGAGAAGTTTTAGTGATCTGAATTCCTCCATATCCACACAGCATCTGTTCCCACTCATTTGGCCATTCCCTGGTACCCACAGAAGTCATGCCCAAGAACAAGGCACCTATGGGTATTACAGGCACTCACCCATGGAAGGTAAATTAGCATTAATTTAGATTATAAAATTTGAGCTTAATGCTTAAATCAAACTGAAAATTTGAGGCCCTGCAATCTGTCTTCATTGTTTAGACAGGAGAAAAGAGAGCAAAACACATTCTGATGGTGCCTACTAAAAGCTGGCCTCCTCAGTGTCAGAATTGTTTCTCTTTGTAGGCTAGAATCAAAATCATGGACAACTGAAGCCTCTGCAGCACTGGGGAGAAGCACACAGCCCAGCAGGTCTGGCTGCAGAGATAAGAAAGGGTTAGTTAACACCTAAGGCAGATGGCAGAGAGGGTTAGGGCCTGCAAGTTCCCCTGATCATTGAAAAATATTTCTGGGGGTGCTGTGGTCCTGGATTGCTTTAGGCCAGCACTTGGTGCTGAAGTTTTCATGAGTTTCCTTTTTTTTTTTTTTTTTTGAGACAGAGCCTCAAGCTGTCCCCCCGGGTAGAGTGCCATGGCATTACAGCTCACAGCAACCTCCAACTGCTGGGCTCAAGCGAGTCTCCTGCCTCCGCCTCCCAAGTAGCTGGGACTACAGGTGCCCGCCACAACGCCCGGCTATTTTTTGGTTGCAGCCGTCATTGTTGTTTGGCGGGTCCAGGCTGGGGATTCGAACCCGCCACCTTAGGTGTACGTGGCTGGCGCCTTAGCCGGTTGAGCTATAGGCGCCGAGCCGTTTTCATGAGTTTCTGTGGGGAGGTGAATAGGTTCACAAAAAACTACACCTCAGGTGAAAAAGTATTCTGTATTATAAAAAAGATTTAGGCAATGCTCTGGAATGGCGCCATTGTTTCCCACCAGGAAAGACTAGACACTGAGGGCTTTTTGGGTGGAGCAATAGATAGGGTACGGTACATGCAGTGATAGCAGGCTGGAGGCAAGGCTAGAAAGTGGCAGAGCTGATCCCCACGCATTTGAATGTCAGTGTTGGAGTGAGGATGTTGCTCTTCTGTGGGCACTGGCAGTTGACAAGAGCAGAGAGGAGGGAAAAAGAGGTCAGGATCTTTGTAGCAGCAAACTGCCTCCATACAGACTACAGGGAAGATCTCCAGCCCTAGGGGAGGGTGAAGAGGCCACACCAGAAACAGGGTGCTCAGAGCACAAGTTAGGTGTGGGAGAGGGTTGGTAGGAACTTTGTGTGGGACATGTTAAATTTGTGGTTGGGGCAAAGAAGATTTATTTTAGTTTTTTCCTTTCTTTGTCCTGAAATAGTGCCACCAACACTGAGGCTTGCCACAGGGCTGCAGCAGCATCAGGACCCTGGACAGACCAGTTTGCCTAAGGCCAGGCTTAGAGAAGGGGTAAGAATCAGAATGCCTCAAGTAGAAGAGCTCCCTGACAGTGCAGTGGGACAGAGAGCTGCCCTCTCTACTGTGCAGGAGCAGGCATCTCTCCCTCTGGCCCCTTCAGGAGCAACAGGTCCAGGAAGCCACCCTGATGGGCTTGGCTACATACTCCTGCCACTGTGCCATTAAAATGGTGGCTGGCAGGTAAACTTGTGTGTGTGTATTGCCTTTCCTCCTCTGCTCCCACAAGTCTATGGTTTCCCCTCAGTCCATCCCTGCCGAGTTGATGAGCTGGGACCAATTCTGCTAGTTTGGCTACAGGGCAAGGGTGAGTGGGACTCCATCAAGTCTATTTCTGCTTCTCTGGGGAAGCCAGGTGAGTTCATCCTGGAGAATCATTTTTGACCTTGCCAAAGTTCGCTAACCACTTTATCCTTCATTTTCTTCATCTATAAAATGGGATGATGCATGGGGTGGCGAGCAAGTGCCTAGGGCATATTCGATTAACCCAAGATCGCCTGGCTTCCCTCCAAAGGCCGGCTGGGCGGCGCAGGGGGCAAGGGTCCCAGGGCCAGGGGCTAAAGTTTGGCGCGCGGGAGCGCCCGCGGCCGGGGCTGGAGGTACTCACTGCCGCCAGGGGTCGCCGACTAACATCCCAGGCCGCTCAGGGAGCCGATCCGGTCCAGCTTGAGGCCAAAGCAGCCGTTGGACGTGCCCTTCTTTCTTTTGTTTTTGCGCGCCTTGGGGTGCTCCTGCGGAGGGCGGGCCCGCGCCGCTGGCGACTTAGGGTCCGCGCGCAGATCCCGGAGCAGTCGCGACCGGTCGCCCTCGGGGTTGGTGCCACTGCTCCCAGGAGTCTTGTCACCCTTCTTCTGAGACTCGGCCACCTCCTCTCCTGGCGGGGTTCGTGGGACCTGTCCAAGAAAAGAGTGGACAGGTGAAGGGACGCCCAGCTGCAGCGCGGGGGACTTTGCGGAGCCCCTGATGTTGTAGCCCAGACGCGCTGCGAATCCTGAGTGTGCCGCACCAATGCCCCGCGTCCACCTGCCACGCGATTGCCGTCGTCTATTTCTTCTGGGACACTCTTGCCCTCCCCTCCTTTGCCTCTTGCCCAGCTGGTCCCAGGTAGGGGGGCTGCGCATGTGTCGACGTTCTTCCAAGGCTGGGAGGGTAGACCCCTACAGTCTGGGCTTCAGGGGCTCTCTGGCCCTCATCTGGGCACATCTTGGGGAGCAGGGGGGAGGGCCTCTTTCCCGCCCTCTCTTCACCCTCCTACACGCTTCAACCTCCCAGGTCCCCAGCTTCCCACGTCCCTCACAGGCCCAGCGACCCCGCGATAGCACCCACCTTTGGCGATGCCCCGGGCTTGGCTTCGGAGGGCCAGAGCGAGAGTAGCGTGAGCAGCAGGGCGCAGGCCAGCAGCTGGGAGAGGTGCATGGTGCCTGTGGGGTCTAGGGGCGCAGACTGGCTGCAGCTAGGGTGCGCGGGGCCGGCGGGCAGAGGGGCCGGCAGTGCGGAGCGGGCTGGCGGGGCTGCAGGACGATCGCGAGTCCCAGTGCTGCGCGGCGCCGGCTGGGTGCGCTCTGAGCCCGTGACTCTGCTCGCGCCTTTATAATCCAACCTGCCGCTGATGTCATCCTCCCGCCCACCCGGCCGCTGGGGCCAATGGCACAACGCACGCGGCCGCGCGGAGGGCCGGGAGGGTCCCCTCGCGGCCCCCACCCTCGTCCCACCCCCGAGGGATCCCGCAGCTCAGCGGGTTTGCTCTGGGCTTCACTCGGAGCTGCAAAGTGGCGTGCGCCAGGGAAGTCTGTTTGCAACTGGCTCGCGCCCTGTCATGCCAAGCGTCGGCGCGCTCAGTGCTTAGGGTATCCGCTGGGTCCTCACCACATGCGCTCTACCTGGACCTCATTGCAGGTGCAAAGACAGGCTCAGAGGAATTAAATCACTTCTCCAAAGTCACACAGCCAAAAAGTTGGCGCTGCCCTACACCACGCAGATCTGCCTTGCTGCCCAACTCCTCCCCGCACCTGGCATTGAGACTCCATCGTTCATCTGCTCGCCAGGGAGGGAGTGCAGACCACAACTACGCGGTTAGGTTGAGGAGGCAGAGACTGGAGCGGAGGTCCAGGCGGGAGGAGCAGGGAGAGCCGGGTTTGCCCAGGGCCGCAGGAGGGAATGCAAGTCTTCCACGCTGGAGAGCGCGAGCATTTCGCCAGCCTGCGTGTTTGAGCGCGAGCCCGGGACCAGGGGCCTGGAGGGCAGACCCAAGACACCGAGGCCCCTGCGAGTGTGTGCGGTGCCATCGTATGTCTGCCGCTATGGCTCTAACTTAGCATTTATCCCAGGCTAGCTGCACAGAACGTCCCGACGTCTGACTTGGCCGGTAGCTTCCGTCTGCGCTGACCGGTACGCTCTTGACCCTGTCTGCACCCACGCGAGGATCCGCAGTGTGGGGGGTTTCCACTCCAGTGTCCTATGCACCTGCACTGGCTGGGAAGGGAGCTTTACCTAACTACAGGCCCAGGCTAGCCTCCCTGAGCCGTGACAGGTGGTCGGGACACGGCCACATATCCCTGCTCTTCGTGAACTTCCTCTCCTCAGGCTGGGCTGCTGTGTCCCTCCGGCTCTGGGTAATCCCCCAGTATGGGCCTCCGCGGCAGAGAGCCTGGAACCCCAAGAACTGAATGAGGTGCAGGAATGTATAGAAGACCCGCTGCCGCTGAGCAGGATGCAGGCTAGAGAGGGGACAACAAACGTTTGGTGACAGGGACGTGGTGGGTGGCAGTCCCAGGAGTGAAGGCGATCCCATGGAAGGTGGGCACCCTAATGAGCTTTTTTCAGGGAAGAGAAGCTGCCCCTGAGGGCAGTGTGGTGGTGGGGGCCTTGAGAACCAAGATAGCATTTGCAGCAGAGAAGAGTCCAGACAGCCTTACTCTCTGGTGGCCCCTTTCCAGCCTCACACATTGAGTCAAGGAGGTCTGAGTTTGGGGCAGTAGAATCTCCTGATCTTCAGGAAGATGGAGACATGCATAGGGCATCCTTTGTCAGTTCTGGCAAGTCGGCTCATCACCTTTTTGCAGCCCCCCACCCTTGCCTCTCCACATTAATACCTATGGAGTGGCAGCACTTTTTCGTGTCAGGAGAAAGCAAGAGCAACAAGAATGGGGAAGAGGGCAGGATCTCCAGGTGGGCTATGGAAGTTTCCTCTCCCTTTTGCCTATTGGACAAAGAGGGCATTAACCATTTGGAACTCTGATATTTGCTTTATTTATATTAGTTTAAAGAGGTAGGCAGAGCCAGCCAGACTGACTATAGAGTCAGGCACAGGGTTGGTTTTCAGGGGCTAGCCGCTATATCCTCTTATTAAGAGTAGGTTGGAAGCTTCTGGTGCTTATGGCTACTTCCTTCTGCCCGAATCTTCCTGTCTTCTGTGTCCCTGGACACACTTGACGTGTCTAGGTCTCCAGGTGACTGTCTACCTCTGTTTGAGCTTTGATGCTAAATTAACAAAATTGGACCCCCTCTCCCCAACCCAGTGTGCAAAGCCAGCACCCTGGACTCCACTTCCACTCTTTGGAAGAGGAATCTTTTCTTTTTCTCTTTTTGAGACAGAGTCTCACTCAGTTTCCCTGGGTAAAGTCATTGCAGCTCAGAGCAAGCTCAATCTCCTGGGCTCAAGCAATCCTCCTGCCTCAATCTCCAGAATAGCTGGGACTACAGGTGCCTACCACAACGCCTGGCTAGTTTTTCTATTTTTAGTAGAGATGGGGTCTTGCTCTTGCTCAGGCTAGTATTAGACTCCTTAACTCAAGTATTCCACCCATCATGGCCTCCCAGAGTGCTAAGAGGACAGGCATGAGACATCTCGTCCTTCCTGGAAGAGGAATCTTGCAATGAGCCACCACTTCTGACCACAGGACTCTGGTCATGTAAGGCAGAGTGGATCCTGGAGGAGTTAAGGCTCCAGTGTAAGCCTTCTCTAGGGCAGGCTGTGGAGCAGCTTCTGCTTAGCTGAGACCTGGCAGGTGGGTGGGTGAGAGTCAGGGGACTGGGCTGGAGGGATCTCAGGGAGGAAGGTAGTCAGCACACACCTGGCTTAGAGACTGAAGGTGTCACCTCTCCCTTTGGTTTCCATGCATGGGGAACTGTAAAAGAGGCTCTTTCTCTGTCCGGGTCCTGGATTTAGGTTTCAAGTCCTTTCTTGCTGCTTGTCCCTCATGATGTCAGCTTTTTCTGCCCTTGGCCCCAGGGGCCTGGGTAGGGAAAGTTGTTGCCAGCTGTTCAGTGGGCCCAACAATTTGAGGTCTGACAATTAAGTTCATGAACTCACCCTAGAAAACATGCTACATTCCTCATTGCTGAATATCACTATGGTCACCTTTTTTTTTTTTTAACTGTTTATGGAGTTTTTTAAAAAATTAATTTAATTTTTTTATTAAGTCAAATACACATAGATCATGAATACAATCATGCATATGTGGGGTACAATGTGCTGATTTTTAAAAAATACAATCTAGCATGGTTACATTAAGCCAATCAACATAGCTTTCACCTCATTTACTCAATTATTGTGCCAAAACATTTATGTTCTACATCTCACAGATTTGATTTGTACCCTTGTCATATGTTCCATAGGTGTGATCCTGCCCTCTGTCAAACCTCCCTTCTCCTCTCCCCTCCCACTCCATATCTTTTCCAGATCCCTCCATAAAACATCTTTTTTAAGGCTGCATAGTATTCCATGGCATACATATACCACTATTTATTAATCCACTATGTCGCCTTTGAAGTACTCCTTTTAGGAAGCTATGCACCAACATCAGCCCCTAATCAATTCCTCAAAAACAATTTTAGAACTCTTTTTCTGGGCTCAGCACCTGTGGCTCAAGTGGCTAAGGAGCCAGCCACATACACCTAAGGTGGAGGGTTCGAATCCAGCCCTGGCCCACCAAAACAACAATGGTGGCTGCAACCAAAAAATAGCCAGGTGTTGTGGCAGACCCCTGTGGTCCCAGCTACTTGGGAGGTGGAGGCAGGAGACTCGCTTAAGCCCAGGAGTTGGAGGTTGCTGTGAGCTGTGATGCCATAGCACTCTTCCCAGGGGGACAGCTTGAAGCTCTGTCTCAGGAAAAAAAAAAAAAGAACTCTTTTTCTGGAATGACCATTAGAGCTGTCATGGTAGGAGGTAAGGCAGTTAAGTTCCAGACCTTGCCACCATGTCCTTATGTCAACAGCACTATATGAACAACTCAGTAAGATTTCATAACCTTGGTATATCAGTGTCTTACAGCTGTGTTCAAGTTGACATGTAGTGATGTCTTGCTGAGTGGCATTCATTATTGTTGTTTTGTATTTTTGTGTGCCGTATGACACACAAAACATTTGTCACACACTCACTGATTCCACAAGTATCCACTGAGCACCCCTGCAAGCTGTGGGTTTCCATCCCAGTAGGGAAGGACCCCAGCAAAGACTCTGGCTTTCTAGGCTGACAAGGACAGTGACAGAGAGCAGGGTAGCTCAAGCTGAGGCCACCCCAAGAGGACTGCCCCAGCCTGGGCTAGCAGGGTAGGTTTTTGGGAGAAAGAAAGGTCATTTCTGAGCCTGATGATACAGGGAGATAAGGGAAGAGAGGAGGAAAACCTGGGTGGAGAGCAGAGTGACCCCATTTGGGCTAGACAGTGGAATGTACCTGGACTCAGGCTCAGAAGGAATCCATGCAAGCAAAAGACACGAGGGGGCTGGCCAGGCTGCAGAAGCCAGAGAGCTCAGATCTAGGGACAGAGGAGGGCTTCAGGCTTGGGACAAAGGCAATTCTGGGGTAAGTGGACGTTTGGAGGTAGGAGATATGAAAGAGCGGGGCCTGCTGTGGTCTTGAGGGTGGGGAGGGCAAGAAAGCTTGTGGGCGCATGAAGGATGAGGCAGAGAAGCTTGGTGAGGTGGAAGGCACCTGTGCTCACCACTATACCACCAAAGCTGTGGAGTCAGTTGGCATCAGAGGATCGCATGGGTGGGACCCTTCTCTTCTTCCTGGCCTTGTTGAGGCAGGGTGGGGACATGGAAAGAAAAGAAGGGTGGGGACATGGAAATAAAAGACCTCATTCCATGGATCCCTCTTCATTCTTTCCTCTCCTCTGAGAGGGCAAAGTAAGACACACTCCCACCACAGAGGGGGCCCTTTCAGAGGACAGGCAATGTACAGGCAAGAGGCAGAACAGAATGAGATACAATTGAGAGTGGGCCCTGGTCAAGTTTGCTGGGGTGATAAAGACGTATGTAAGGGTTTCTAGGAGACTGGGGAAGGGGTGGTTAAGACAGGACTGTCCAGCCAGGTCCGCGTAGGTGGAGTAGCGCCCCCTACTGGCCCCAGGGCTGCAGGGCAGGTTTTCAGGCGCATAGCAAGGGGGAGGGCTGCTGAGCGACCCATCTGTTTT